CCCCAAAACCCCAAAAACCCCAAAACCCCAAAACCCCAAAACCCCAAAACCCCAGTAAGAATTTAAAGAATTGGAACAAAACTTATTTATAAAATTTTCAAAGTTCCTATATAATGAAAATTCTCATCCTTACACTTTGTGTGCTAAGCTTTGTCTTGGCAGCAAGGGATGCTGATTTGTTGGGTGCTCCACTTCCAGGATGTACTAATGACAATTTCAGACAATACTCTGGATATCTTGATGTGACTGAAGATAAGAAATTCCACTATGTCTTTGTTGAAAGTCAGAACGACCCAGCCAATGATCCACTTTTGTTCTGGTTCAATGGAGGTCCAGGCTGCTCAAGTATGATCGGCTTTATACAAGAGCATGGACCATGTGCCTTCTTGGAAGACTCAGATCACGAGCCTCAAGATAACCCATACTCATGGAACAACTGGGCTAATATAGTCTATTTAGAATCCCCTGCCGGAGTTGGATACAATTTCTACAATGGGCATTATGAATATGATGATGACAATGTTTCTTATGAAAACCTTAAGGCTGTTCAATCTTTCTTCGAAGGATTCCCAGAGTATAGTAACCATAACTTGTATCTCTCAGGAGAATCCTATGGTGGAATTTACATCCCATACCTAGCACTCAGAATTGACGAGCACAACGCTAACTCTAACGACCATATCAACTTGAAGGGATTCCTTATTGGTAATGGAGTTACAAACTGGAAGTACGATTGAGGACCTGCCTTCATGAAAATGGGATTAACTCATGGTCTTATTAATATCGATCTTGCCAATAGAATTGAAAACTCTGGATGTGACTTCGCTGAACAAGGTTCTGGAAAGCAACCAGATGAGTGTTATTCACTCATGAGAGAGTTCGATGATGCTGTCTCCCATGTCTACCCATACGATATCTACAGACCCCCAGAGGAGTACTATCAAACTCCTGCTCCACAGAAGAGTATTTCAGATCTGATCAGGATGGAATCTGACTCTCAAGTTGAGAATGTTTATGGAGGATTCTCAAGATTGGTCAAGAAAAACATGAAAAAGAACTCTAATGACTTCTCTCCAGTTAACAAGTACATGAACGCTGACGATACTAAGGCTGCTTTGAACATCCCAGCGAACTACTTCTGGGAGGAATGCTCAAATATCGATTATGAAATGCTCGATGAAGCCTCTCAATGGATCTATCCTAAACTCAAGGGAAAATATAGAATGCTTCACTATAGTGGAACTACTGATGGAGTTGTCCCAACTGTAGGAACTGAGGGATGGATGAAGGATCTAGGATGGAAAGTCACCACTAAAAGGAAAGCATGGCTCTCAGAGCCTCTCATTTTGGGAGGATATACTGAATCCAGAGAAGGAAATCTTGACTTCCTTACTATTCATGGAACTGGACATATGGCTCCACAATGGAAGAGACATGAAGCATATCTTGCACTATCCAGTTGGGTTCTTGAAAAAGATCTCCCAAGGTCATAACTCATTGATTAAGTTTGGTTCTACAAATTTAAGAATAATTCCATAGTGTCTATTCTTTCCTAATTATGTATTTTATGCAAAAATCTCCAATAATTTTCATTTTTTTTGTCACAAGTGGGGTTTTGGGGTTTTGGGGTTTTGGGGTTTTGGGGTTTTGGGGTTTTGGGG